CGTAAAAGATAACCATACGCTTCAGAGGCGCATGCTATTCTAAGGCGTCAATTTTATACTAACAATGGATATTTATTTAAGTTAATCTAGTCATTTTAAAGGTTTGGCATTATTGTAAAAATAAAATGCATTTATATTATATTTTTTTATATTTTAAGTAATTTTAAACTTAAATCACTAGACCTCTATGAAAAATTAACAAAAATCAACAGTCTTCGCAGGCGCCTCTGCGACGTAGGTTATCTTTCTCGGGTTAATTATTGGATGGTGTCTCGGGTCTAAGGGAAATAACGGGACCTATGAAAAAGATTGTGCGAACTCTAGAAAAATTGTGAGATAAGTAAAAGGATTGCGAAGACTCCTGAAAAATTGTGGAACCTATCAGAAGCTTGTGGAGACTCCGGAAGCATTGTGGAGCCCAAGAATAAACTGCAGGATCTTCGACAAAATTATCTGAACTTTAGAAAAATAATAGAGTCGAGGAATAAATTGTGGGGCCCGTGAGAAAAATTGTCCCGCCAAAGAAAGAATTGTGGAACCCAGAAAAAAATGGCAAGGCGTATCAAAATGTTATTCGAGGTCTAGATAAATTGTATGCGAGTCCCCAACGAAAGCACTTTCAACGAAGCGTTCGCTCGTTTCGTTTTACTTTACATACTAGCGAGGAACGAAGACGAAAAATGCGTTAAATTCGTAGTCGACCGATCAATCATCTGCTATCTTCAGTCACCTTCGCTATCTCTATGTACTTCGAAGACCACTACTTCGACACTAAAAACGTTCGCTCAGCTCGATACCGTTGCGTAATATTTCCTAGAGCCCCGTGGAACTTTTGACAGTTACACTAGTTTTCTTTCGTCGGAAAAATCGCGTGCAACACTCGCTACGTATTGGTTTACAAAGTCAATGACATAATGCTCGGCGTGCATAATTAATCCGTCGTTGGCGTCACGCACTCTGTGACGTGCCGGTCGGTCCTCTTTCGAGAATTCGACGCCTGACGTACGTACTTTTCAGAGAATACCCGCTTGGAATTATAATCAGTGTTTATACTCAAAATATCAGCCGCATTTAATGTCCATGGATCGTCGCGGGCATAAACATTTCGAGAGTGACTTCAGTCGAGGAAGAGCAAATGGCAAGAAAATATTCAGACTTCTTGCCGAGTCGTTTCCTATTAGCAAAGGAAAGATAAATAGTCTAGAAAAATAGTTTGTTCAGTCTTTGAAAATTTCCACTGTCGTAAATGAAAAATCGATCGCCATTAGCCCCTTCCGCCTTTATAAACTTTTTACAAACATTTTACGTTACAAAAACGGAACACGAACTTGCCGCGAGTCCACGTCCACGTATTTATCTAGACGCTTAAATATTGATAACCAGACAGTGGGATGTTTATGCAAAATAAAAATAAGCCAAGTTAATTGTAAGAGACACAGGTCAGATGCAAATGTTTTTCCTCGTACAATCATTGTAATAAGTGGAAAACAATGTAACAATATCCATAGATTCCTCCGATGTTACCACAGTTTTGCACATCGGCTGCACATTTGTCTCGTAAATCCATCAAATCCGCTGTCTATTTGTCACGGAGGAATAGATATTTCCTTGAATTCCAAAGAAATGCACAAGGCTTGGAATAATGTTTAAACGATTCTGCTTAGGATGTTCATCACGAGTCCGGCACGGTGTTAAATGACGAAGGGTCAACGAGGGTTGCAAGCGAAATTAGCACTTTCGAGGTAAATCGGCGAGCTAGAATCGCGGAATGGCAGGTCAATGCGAAGTGGTCGCACTTAGAACGGCGATGAATAACAATGATCGCGTCACTGAATGAACTTCGATATTCCCTGTCGTGGCGCGAGGGAGAAACGGAATATTTCCGCGCGAGACGTCGCGGGAGCGTAGGTGGTCCTAAGGTTAAATCCGGAGATTCGTTTCGGGATTTGGAGGCGTCCCGCGTCGGACGTCTGCGGGATTATGACAAAATTGCAGGCCCGTTTGGAACGCGCGAGTGCGTGCCAACTGATCGTAATACGTCTTCGCCACGACGACACGATGGAGACAAATGGCGGGGAGATACTTCGCTCCTCGGCTCGCGTACCTCTTCGCTCTCTCTCTCTCTCTCTCTCTCTCTCTCTCTCTCTCTCTCTCTCTTTCTCATTCCCATTCCCATTCTCGTTCTCGAACGATTCTTTCGCGGGTCGACCAATCTGGCCTTGGACGTCGATCCGAACGATCAATATTTGCGGAATCAATTGCCGCGAACGATTCGCGGATCGGACGATAATAATCTGCGACGCGGAGATCGGTCGTGGCGGAGCGTATTAATCATCATCGTTTCGCACGCGTATTCCTCTGTTCTGATTCGTTCGATTCATGCTTATCCCTGCAATTCGATCGTGGAAATTCGGAGAGATGCTACCGAAATTTTGCAAATTTTAGGGAACAGTTTTTTTACGTAAACGAAAAAATTGATTCGATCAAGAGAACACAGAACTGTCGGGAAACCTAGAAAAGTTTTTGCTGTTCCGTGTTCAAAATGTTAACGCATTGACGGTCGCGCCTAAACAATTTCATCGAATTAAAGTATTTTATTCAGTTGAATGAAAATTGCAAAGCGAAGTTGCATGACGTCAATTACTGTCTCAACATTCTTACCTCCCGCGAATTTTAATTAAAAAATTTTAATTTAAAAAAAATTAAATTATAATTAGTTAATAGCGTAATTGTGTTACGCTAATAGTATAAATAGAATAAATATTTTTTTAATTATAAAATCATGACAAATCTTTTTAAAAAACTGCGCTTGAATCGATCTTTAGAATAGAAATCCTCGCGAAGTCATGTGTACGCGAGAACGGCGCGTCGAAGTGTTAAAGGAAACTCCTTCGTGCATGACTAAACTGTCCAAACAAGTACTGAATTTGATGCAGAAATTTGTCTCCCAAGGATATAAATTCAACGACGCGAAGATTGAACGAGTTTTCTCACGAGGTGACGACGCGATAACGCGCTCGCAAACACGGCCGTGCACCGGTGTAATCTCTAGGAATTAGTGTGGACGTGAAAAAGATCGGTTCGAGAAGAGTAGCAGCGCCCATGCGAAGAAGGGAACTCACCTCGTTTCTGCATGTAGCTGAAGAGGTCGTCGAGGAACTCCTTCCTCTTCGGGTCATCGTTGATTTCGTACAACTGCAACAGAAGATGAATGGTAAATACGTTGCGCATGGTTTTCCACATCCGAGAACCGAAACGCGATCTCGCGAAAACGGGATCGGAGGGGTTGTGCGAGCGAAACGATCGCCGACGATCGATCGTACTTTCAGATTGCCGCGCCGAGCGACGAATAAAATGTTACACCGGAGGCCATGCTAATAAAAACAGGAGTGAAACAAGTGTGCTCATAGCGACAGGCAGATTAGTTAGCTCCGATTATTAATGATTCCGTTTAACCTGCCTCATAACCCGAAACCCCCGGCCGACCGGACCAAAGCCAAACTCCCTTCGGGCTAGCGGCCAGCGGTATTATCATATTTGTTATGTACGATGCGCTATATCTAATCCGGGACCCTCTAATTGCTTTTATAAAACGAGCCGAGCCCGCACCTCTCATTTTCTACGTCGTCACGACCGTTCCTCCTTTCGGTTTGATCTGTACTCTACACAAACATCCTAATTTGCTTTCTATTTGGTCCTTCGCGACCTCGACAAAATCATCTGACCGACCTTCGTCGCGTCTTTTTCGACCAAATCTGGCTCTGATCTTCGAAAAGCGGACCATTTTATATATAACAGGTGTTTTTAATATTTCATTGCTAGAAAGCGTTCGACTTATGCTGTAAATATCTATTATTTGGTTGTGATACGTACTAATTTTAAAGCTGAAGAATCTACCTTTTCGCCCTCACGAATGTACACCCCCTTTCAAAAGTATTAGAGGACACCTGCTTATTTGATATAGTATAAATTGTAATTTTTTCATTCAGTTTAGATAATGTCCGCGAATTTATGGCATAACATAATGACGAAAGTAATTACATATTAAGTTATAAGTGTTTGTCGCGTGTGCAATTAAGTTACCCATTCATTGCATTTTGTTCATTGAAAAACGTTTGCTGAGTTTATTTCAAATTCTTCGCGCTACTGCGAAATGCATGGCACCAAATAGAATAAGAAATAACGGAGAAGCTAATAAAACGGATACCGACATTAGTCGAAGAAATAATTAATAAACGCGGTGGATATCTATATCGAGAAAAGAAAAATTTTTAATTTTCTTTTATCAAATTTATATTAGCTTCATTATAATGTAAAACACATGTGCTTGTTACAATATAATATAACTAACTTCGAAACAAATGTAAGAAATTATAACAATTTTCTATCGGGTTTTCAAATTCATTTAATTTTCTGTAAGTGTCCTAATACTTCTGCGCAAAGAACACATAAAAATTAGAAATAGAAATAGACAAGGAAAAGAAAATTATTAACGAAGAAGCAGAGAAAATTTCGAAGACACAGAATATCTATGAACAATTTGCAAACGAGAATCATTGCAAAGAGTGTCGAATGATGAATGAGTGTCATAATGTAGTGTGTCTCGCAGAATTCTGATTTTTTCGCTACCTCGTAGCTGAACAATGGCAAATATTGGACATCTGTGAATATTTATGAGAATTTCGATTGCACAGGCTTAAACTACATGCTCGAAGTAACTCCGGGAAATTTTTACAAGATTTTTGGCGTACTCTAAACCTGTGATCTCTCGCGGTCTTCTAGAAAAGCGTGAATACCGCGATGGTTAAAGTCGCCTCGTAAAATCATCTTCTAGAATCCGTGGATTATTTTCAGTAGCGCACGGAGCGTTATTTTCTAAACCATTGTTAGGCGATCGCTATTCTCGGTGACTTGGTCACCGATTCTTCCAGCTGCTCAAGCTTTTTTATCCACGTTCAGCTCGGAGATAAGCTACCGGAACTCCACGCTTCGACGATTTTCTCTCCCAGAACGTGACACACCTATGCCTCTGCGATCTTCAGCAACAGTTATCTCTGGCTGCTACTGGCCATTAGCCACATTAGGATTGTGTAAAATTCCTAACTTCTGGGTCATCCTCCGAGACACCCTTTCAATCCTCGCAATTGTGGCCTACGCTCGGAATTCGTTGGCGGGACTATCTTTTGGTGACGGGAAAAAATAGTACAGTAATTCGGGGACTGTGGTAGACCGGATATCCTGGTGAACCTTTGATCCTTCGAAATGTCATTACATTCTAGAAATAGCGGGCATTTATTGTTCGATTATGTCCTTACATCATTTAACTCTTCGATAGGTGATCCAGTTCTCTGATGGTTAAATTTGAACGCATTCATAAATCACTCGAGTCACTGACAAGATAAAACATCAGAACCGTCCTCTCTCCCCCTACTTTTACGATATGCCTCCTTTTAGCTAAGAGATGTACAGATTGTGGATCGTAAAGAATACAAAATAGTTTATGTTGATAGGCTCTTTAGCGACTGCTGTGTCTGGAAGACGCTTAATGTGGCTAAGCCGCGTTAATATCCAGCTAATTACTTCGCTCGCACATTAATGTGCATTTAGGATTTCGAGTTTAAGGGCCCGTGACAGTTTAAATTGTTGCACCCGCTAGTTATTAATTTCCTGGTAATCCTTTAAGTTCACGCGTTCGTTATCCCCGCGCGGTGCGCGACGCTTTCCTCCGAGACTCTTTCTCCCTCCCCCGTCCTTTCTCGCTCTCTCTCTCCCTTTCTCTCGGCTCGTAGATCTGCGTCGACGATAAATTTCATTGAACGAAACGCGGCCTCACGCGGGGTGAATAATAATTAATTTAGCGGCCGGGACCGCCGTTCATCCTGCCTAGTTCTCCACCGGTAGATCCTGCCAAGATGTCGGCCGACCGCGACGAAAGGGGAGGCTTTTTCGAGCGGAGTCGGCTGCGAAATGCGACGCGCGTATCAATGGCGAATCTGCTCTCATTCGACCTTGAAATCACTGCGCACCGAGGCATGACATTTTACGCCAACTTCAAGAAAACCGTGCTTCAATTCTTTCCTCAAAATTGTGGCGAAGAGTTCGTTTCATCGTCGCGTTTCTAAACGATTCACTGTTTCGGTTCCTACGAAAGGCTACGGATACGTTTATCTTTGTAACGGTGCCGTGCTAATGGCCTAATTTCCGTCATTTAAGGTCTCTTAAAGGTGAGTGACTCGGCTAAAGAATTATTATTAATGGACTGCGTATTTTATGCGTGTGTGTGGTAAATACAAAACGGTGAAAATCATTAAAGAACTTAAAGATACTGTTGCGTTGCGTTCAACTTATTAACAGACCGCGGATATTTATTCGAAACAAAGATCTTTCACCTGAATTATCAGGAACGGAAATGAAATAAAAATATATTTCTTCTTTTAGTGATTGTAACGAAGTGAAGGGAGGATAACAATTTCCTTAAATTTTTCTAACGTGTTTGCACTTCGATGTTTCATCCAGTCATAAATAATAATAATAATAATAATAAATATTATTAATATATTATATATATTATTAATAAATGCATCAAATCCGCAGACCGGATATTAAGATTATTTCGATAAGAGATAATTTCCTACCTAACTTCTGCATTTTGCAATGGATTTTTGCAATTTGATTAATTCAAATTCGGCGTTTGTATCGATTACCGTAGCCCAACGTGGTGGCTGACTCAACGCCGATACAACCACGAATGTGTCATTGATTTTGTGCGTTGGCTTCAACGAAGGAATAAACGGCTCCACAAAAAATAGCTTAATGTTTATGGTTGACGCGCAACCTTCGTTTCCTTCTTTCCATATTTACGATCTCGCCGGATCAATTAAAAGTCGATACGCAGGATCGATTAGAATAAACAGCGAAAGAAACGTCGATATCGCATGATCTACGATCTTTCCGCATGCGTAACCGCGAAACCGCCGCGTTCGTCCGCGCACCGTTTCTTCCGACGCCCGATAATAATAGAAAACTCATTATACCGATAATCCCGTAGAGTCACCGGTCTTATTATTAACCGAGTAGCGTTGTTAATGCTCGCGTACGATAGAACGATCGACATTCGTCCGCGACACACTTGCTGCCCGGCGCGAAGAAGGCGCGCACAGGTGCTTCCGGTCTACGGACTATTATCCAGAGTTTCCCAGGGCCGCTGACAGGTGTCTTGTAATAGAAACCGCCCACGATACCAGCAGAATATCCATCTAGTAGTACCCTATCGCTCGGCTGAGGATATTCGTGCGATTTACAGTTGCAGGCGGAAATCATTAATATTGTAACTCGTCGATCCAGCGACACGTGGTACTCGACAGACAACTGCGAAGCATTTCCATAATGGATTTGCGAGACAGACATTAGCTAGGGAATAAAATTGCATCGAAGACATTGGCTCCAACGATTTGGATCTCGCAGGAATATTTGTCTACGATACCCATCGTGTTCGCACCAAGTGCTACGGAACGAGTTACGGTGAGATTGCAAATAGTAAAAGGAAGTGTTTGAATATTTCCATTCTGTGTAATTCTTTTCGCTTTGTGCAATGAAATTGTTAGCAATTCTCTAATTCTCATCCGTCCCTCATTTTTCGATTTTAATCTGTTCTATGCTATCAAATTAACAGAAAGACAGAAAATCTGATGACGTATCAAGTTGGGACACATTTATAACTTATATTCATAGTCATCATTTGGCAAAATGAAATATGTATAATTTATTACACATAGTAACACAATAAGTAAGAAAATAACGTTAATGATACACAATATTTGTATAGGAACAAAATCAGTGCTATGGAGAGATTAATAGTTAACTTTGCAAATCCCCCCTTTGAACACGAAAACCTAAGATGAAATTAAATAAGATTAAAATGAGACTGAGTAGAACATATTTATTTGTAATCAGTGAAAAATGTGCCCAATTGACACGAGGAACGGATGAGAGATAACCCTCCGCTATCGCACACTGGATAAAATATCCTTCATTGTTTTTCGATAAAGTGATATAATGCTAGATTTCGAGTGTCATAATCTTGACATAACCTTGGGTCTCACACTGGATAAAATATCCTTCATTATTTTTCGATAAAGTGATATAATGCTAGATTTCGAGTGTCATGATCTTGACGTAACCTGGGTCTGAGTGAC